CTTTCCCTCTAATTTTGAAAACCATTTTATCTTGCTGCCAACATTATAAGATCTGAAGTGTCAAGACATTCTCTTGAGGATATAGAGAGAGGTCCAAGGACTGTTCAACATTCATTGCTTTGAGCTCATTTCTCGTATCCTCGGATCTTGAATGCCTCATCTTATCCAGCGCATCTCTAACCACAGATGGTCGACATCTACAGCTCATTGATCGTGGGTTCACAAACCTACCAAAAATAATATAATGCAACAAATATCAGGCGTTATTCCGGTGTGGTTGTATTATTATGGTATTATTACGGTATTATTGTGGTAATATTTTGATGGTATTATTCAAGTAGTACTATGAAATTATTTCGGTAATATTATGGTTATATTTCAGTGATATTGTTAACGTTGTAGTACAATATTATTACGACATTATTATGGTATTATTAAGGTTATATTTTGAATATTTTGAAGGTATTATTATATTTTGAAGGTATTATTCTTGTACTATTATTTCACTTTATTACGGTATTATTTGGCTTTATGGGATTATTACAATTTTTTTTGACTTTATGGCATTATTAGGGTTTTATTTGACTTTATTATTTAGTATAAGTCAAGTTTTGTATACGAAATCTGTATTTTTATTAAAGGAACTATGTATTTTTATTAAAGGAACTGCATTTTATTTAAAAGAACTGCATTTTATCACCGTAATAATACATTTTATCACCATAATAATCACTATTACCTTGAAGAACTATAGTATTAGAAGAAGAAAAAACAACCAAGGAACTATAATAATCACTATTTAAAAGAACTGCATTTTATCACAGTATTATTTAGAAATGTATTTAGTAGAAGAACTGCATTTAGAAGAAGAAAAAACAACCAAGAAAAAAAAGAAAAAAAAAACAACCAAGAAAAAAAAATATTACCTTGCGGAACCCTCTTCAGTAACCTTCTTCTTACAGTCATTAGTTTTTTTCTTGGATTGCATTCGTGACGGCTCATCTTTGGTTTCCATTGCCAATGGAACTTTAGCTTCCACTGTCGTAGGGTTTTC